CTGGTAGGCATTAGTTTATTGACTCACGGTTGATTTAGATCGAACCGGTGATTTGGCTACAAGAAGGATAGTAAGATTCAATATTCAAGTCGTGTATAAAAATATTGATTTCAACCAAGTTATATATCATTTAGCTGAAAGAAATAAGATGAACACAAAGTCTAATAGACTTCACCATTCAAGTAGAAAATGAAGAACAAAAAAAAACTACTAACGTAACATGGATACCACTTTTAAATTAGAATTATGAATATCTTCATGAAATCAAACAAAAAGATACAAGATACAAATGTTCTTAAATACAAACTACCAAACTGAACCCTAACAATAAACCAAAAGATAACCAAAAAATAGTATAATTGTAACAAATATAAAATTGCATAACCGAAATATGTAAACTCTTATATACTGTTTTAATTTTACGTAAATTTGTTTATATTCACAAAAATGATTGACGCATGCATGACCCACCAACAGAAAAAAAAATAAAATAATGGACATTGATAACACACACAAAAAGGAAAAAAAATGCGTAAATAGGTAGTCAATGTTAAAAGATATTATATATGCTATATATGGAAATAAACTTGATGAATAATAATGATGCAACGACTGCAAAATACTATATAAACCTCTTAAAATGAGTTTGTTTATATTCACAAATAGAGAGTTTTTTTTAGATATTTACTTGATTTTCAGACTTGATTTTCAATATAATTGTCAATATTAAATGATTTTGTGAGTTTTTATCGTAACAAATCAGCGTGGTCAGACGATCAAAGATCTATTCACATATCAACCAAGCATTGCGGCCATAACGAAAAATGTTCAAAGTGTTACAGGTGATTGTTTTGATGTGTATGGATTTTTGTTTGTGTTTTTTTTTATAACCTTAAAATTCGGGCCGAAACTCTAGTTCCCGTAAATTTGGAATTAGTTTTTAGTTTATTCTCTTTGAATATACCCCTTTTCTTATAGAGAATTACAAAACGAAACACATGGATTTTTGTTTGTGTTTACATATTAAAAGAACGTGTTTGCATTTAGCAAAAAAACTCCATAAGCAAATGGAAAGAAAAACTCCATTTGTGTTTCTACGTTTGTAATTTACAATTTATTCAATATAAGCACCAACGCTTAAATTTAAATTTGAACCAAAATCATGATTAAATAAACTATAATAAGATGATTTTGAGATCAATCACAAAATGCTTTTTGTTTTGTGAATCTCAAATTGTATAACCATTCACATCCTCGTATATTATAATTGTAGATTCAGTCTCTTGCACTATTTGGTCCTCGTCTTTTCTACTTTTTAAATAACTATCTTTTGTTTTCCTTTGTTCTCTTTTCTCTCATTTTGGAAAACAAAATAAAATAATGGACTACTCAAATTTAGAACTGGAAATGAGTTCTTTTTAAGCTATGAAATATGTTTTTTATGAATGTGTGAGATTAGGTTTAACAGATGAAAAAAATGGTTACTACCACTATTTTTATCTTTAAATTCTCATTATCACATTCACGGAAAACAATTCCTTAGCTGAAACAAAAACACATTCTTCATTCATAAAATTCACTTTATTTGCC